TATTTTGGTGATAAGAGAAGGCGTTGCTGTTTGGATTATAAGCTAAGATAACTGTATATACATTAATAAATTAATATTTTCAACATTACAAAATTTTCAACGATATAATATCATGAATATCATAAAAATTAAATATCGCACATTTCATGTCACCATGAGTAATTGGTTTTCTACCTGGCGGCTTAAGAAGTCTTTTGAACTCTACGGTCACAGCACTGTTATCAGACATAGAAACCTTTGGTACAATAGTAGGATCTTGATCGGAATCGGAATCACGAATGGGAGGATGGTAACCACCCACATCGGCATGATAATTTTCCAATGTTACATTTCCATTGGAAACCTTTGATAACATAAAGTGTACGATAGCAATCCTTCCTTGCAAAACACAATTTGTACGTTTCATTGAGACTTACAATGCCAATGATAAATTCAGCACCTTTCATTCCTTCATCCACTGGATCAAACCCCTATTATATATGTTGACATAATGAACCGACTGGATAAGAGAATATTTAAAAACTAATTATTAAAAACGTATTTAAACTTACCATTCCAAACCAACCATTGCCATCAGAAGTTTGAAGCTGAACTTTGAAGTACACATAATTCAAATCAACTCTACAACTCACAATATATTGACTCCAAGTGCTAATCTTGGTTGGATAATTACTATCATCATTATTGCTAAGTGACTTTTGAGACTGAACTGACCAAAGATTTTGTGGGAAATTTACACTACTATTAATGTTACGAGTTATGATATTTCGAAGTGTCGTATTTCTTATGATAGCTCGTTCATCAGAAGTAAACATATCAGGCTTTTCGAACCAAAACTTATCAGAATCCCTAATATATGTATACTTTTTTTAAAAAATATATATGTAGATAAAGAATTTAACACAACCATATAATCAAAATATTCATATCCAAAACATATAAGCAATGACTACCTGCGTCACTATGCTTGCATTAAAAACCATGCCAAAATTTGAACCATTTAAATGATTTTCACTCAACGCACCAACAAATGCTTCTACAGCATCAACTAAAATGAAAAAGTACATCATTCATCAATTAACATTTATAGAAAAAACTTATAAATGAATTTTTAGATTCACCATCTGGATAGATTTTAGCCAAATTTTGTTGAACAATAGGGTTTGTGGAAATGTCAGCAAATGATTGAGCTTTAGGAAATCCAAAATATTGTCGAGCCTCATTATACAAAGGAATGCCTATGATTACATTTATAATAAACATGATTGTGAAGAAAAAAAATACAGTATAAGAAATTCTGGTACGAGTAAATATCCTACCACGATCCCTACTCCTTATAATATCGATAGCTGCTAGATCAAGAGTATCTTCAAAATTAATAACTTTTTTAGTTGAATTTGCTAAAAAACTATCAATTTCTTCCTGTCGTTGAAGAACCATAGACCAAAGTACTCTTTCTAAACCAAGGTTTTCTAAAAGCGTTTGGTTACTAATATCGTTCAAACCTAAATTATATGAAGTATCTCCGTATTCATCTTGAATTCGGTAAAAATCGCTATAAAAATTTAGGAAATTCTATTAAACATTTTTCAATTAAAAAAAAAAAATTTATGTAAAATAATATTAACCTTAATTCACTATGGCCGTATCGAAATGTAACAGTTGAAAAGAATGTATCAACTCCTGTTAATACACGTTTAAATTTAAAGTTAGAAAATATAGTATCAGAATAACAAGACCTTATCACATGCATTTCTAACCTGGTGTAAGATTTGGATTATAGTTTTGATAGGCTGGTAAAGGACGACCAAGAATAGCACCAATATATTCTTCAGCAACAGCTTTTTGGTAGAAAGCAGTAGTCCAACGTCTCTGAAATAAATTATTTGAT